TTTCTGAAGAAGGGTCTAGATCCGAAACATCAGCTTTCCTGCTCCTCTGATGCTGCCTGGCCTGCTGTGTTCATCCAGCTCTACACCTTGTTATCTCAGTTCCAGGTGAGATTTAATTTCAGGAGATTCTGTTTCCAAGTCTGGCACTGAGCCATTTTTGAGTTATTAATGAATCTCTGTATCAGACACATTGCCCTGGCTGTGTAATACTGGCTATGGTCATCAATGCCTCAACACTTTTGTCTTCTTCTAGGAACCCTGAATGTTTATGTGGAGGAAGAGACACAGAGAAAGCTGAAGGTATGGAGCATGAGTACAGGCCAGAACCTGACGTGGAACTTGGGCAGAGTCAAGATTCAAACAGCACACACTTGGAAGGTAATGTCCTGTGCCTGACCAGCCCAGCGCTGTCTCACACTTCACAATGGACCCACTGATCATCGATCTTACAGGACTTTCACTTGTCGCCCTCACAAACACTTCACTAAGATCAGCCAGCTGATGGGCCTATGCGCAATGTTATGAAGTGATCTGACTGGGTCCGCAGACAGGGGCAGCCTGATCATTGCTGTCTTCCCATCTTTGGTCTGTCGGGATGGTCTCTCAGGGGCGGGGGAGTCTGTTGGTGGGGGGGGTCTTTCAGCGGGCGTGTCTGAGAGGAGTCTGTCAGGGGATCTCAAGGGTGTCGGCCGGGGGGTCTGTCAGGGGGCTTTCTTGGGGGGTGTCACTAGGTGTCACTGATGGTGTCTCTTTCTGCAGTTGGTGTTCGAGGCGATTGGAGGAGGAGCAGCTGTGTCACACATTGCCATCGATGATGTCATGCTGGGTCACACAGAATGTCCCCAAATCGGTGAGTGACCCCACAGTGACCTCTACAGTGACCTCAGTACCCCCAAAGTGATCCCCACAGTGACCCACAGTGACCCCGAGAGTGATCCAGTGTCTCACAGTGACCTCAGTGACCACCATAGTGATCCCCCAGTGACCCCCACAGTGACCCTGCAGTGAGCCCTACAAGTGACCCCAGAGTGACCCACTGTGACCCCAGAAGTGACTCCACTCCAAACAGTGACCACCGGCAGCTTGTCCCAGTGAGTGATCTCCCAATAAGCCACCTCCAAGTGCCATCCCCTACCATCCAGGTCTGAGAGGCAGTCAGGCCCTTGACCACCAGGCTGAATGGTCCAGCAGAAATAGACCAGCCACCTCAGCCATACAGTGACTCACAGTCGGACAGTGTGTAACTCAGGGCCTGATGAAGGAACAGAGGCATCAGAATTTGAGCACATATCCACCAGTTTCCTGGCACAGCATGGGGCTCCCTGTGAGCTGCCTCTTTCATTGATGACAGTACATTTACAGAGTCAGGCCATCTGACTGTTACACTCTCTCCCCTACTGGGGACTGATGCTGAGACCCCAGAAGGGACCAACAGGCTAAAGAACCAGCTAGTCAGGATGTGAATAGGGTCAGGTTGACTCTATAGAGGGTGGGAAATGGTCAGGGTCTCCTGGATTGCGGGTGGGGGGAGGGGGACACTGTGGGGGGTGCCACTTTCACCCATTGGTGGGGCATCATGCAAGGGTATATCAGGGTGGGGCACTACTGAACATTCACCTGCTCCTTACATTCCAAACACTGCCCACGATGGACAGGATGACGAGTCCACAGTCAATATTGGGCACAAAGAGGAGCTGGGCTGAGCTTGGGCTGGTAGAATTGGGTCAGGCTCAAAGAAGCTGGGCCAGACTGGTCTGGACTATACTCGGCCAGGGAGGGTTGAACCTGGGCAGGGCCTGAGTTGGGCCTAGGTAGACCTGGAATCCCAGATAGTTACCTAAGGCCGTGTTGGTGAATTGTTCTGTTTTTCTTTCCTCAGGAGCTTGTAACTTTGAGCTGGACCTGTGCAGCTGGAAAAATGTCCTGAATCCCAAACTAGACTCCATGGACTGGGACTGGAGCAACGGGCAGACGCCCAGCTCCTTCAAGGGGCCTGAGGTGGACAACACAATGAAGAACCCACAAGGTGGGTGGGAATGAACGACCAGGTCCTTCCAGGCCATGACAGACTGCCTGTCTGAGCAATGATAACAGAATCAACTAATTGGTCGTCTCCATATCAGTATGGCTTGACAGCACAGATCACCCAGTAACAGGGCAGTGCCAGGATCACTGCATCACCTCTGGCCATGAATATGTGTTAACATCTGTGTCTCTCTGTGTGGGGCTGTAATTGGTTTAAGACATTTGCTCATTGATCCAATCTTGATACATTTCAGTGTTGACTTATACAATGTTCCTGAAGTTAAAGTCAGGGCCAGCCCTGTGCCCCAGCTCTCAGTGAGTAGACAGACTGTGATTTAACCAGCTCTCAGTGTCAGTGAGTAGACAGACAGTAATTTAACCAGCTCTCAGTGTCAGTGAACAGGCAGACTGTGATTTAACCAGCTCTCGGTGTCGGTGAACAGGCAGACTGTGATTTAACCAGCTCTCGGTGTCGGTGAACAGGCAGACTGTGATTTAACCAGCTCTCTGTGTCAGTGAACAGGCAGGCTGTGATTTAACCAGCTCTCAGGGTCAGTGAACACACAGACTGTGATTTAACCAGCTCTCAGTGTCAGTGAGTAGACAGACTGTGATTTAACCAGGTCTCAGTGTCATTGAACAGGTGAGGCTGTAAATTCTCTTGTTTGTGTTGCTGGATCTGCCTATGTTACTCTCTCACCTCAGAGTCGGGCATCAGAGGTTGAAATCTCAATGCAGATACTTGGGAGTATAATCCCATCTCTCAGGCCTATGTCACACTGGGACAGTGCTGCCTGGTTGGAGGTGATGATGTTTAGGTAACATGCAGCTGTGACACCATGGTTATCTAATGATGTTAAGGAAGATCTCGTAAGCAAGTTACTAGACATTCACACTTTGTGGCTTGTTGAGTACAGCCAGTGAAGTATATCTGAAAGGTATTTTATAACATCTCGAAAATGTGTAATTTGCTTTCTAAATGCAAGTCTTTCCTTTCTAGGTCATTACATGTTTGTGGACTTTGAGGCACTAAGAGACAAAGATGCTGCGTGGCTCCTGAGTGAACGTCTCCCTCCGACAAAGGGCTCCTGCCTCGCTTTCTATTACAGCACCAATATCTCCGAACAGCTCAGTGAGTACCCTCTGTAATGCCTCTGTGACAGGACCTCAATGTGACAGCACAAACCTCACTAAAACTCAGAGATACTGGAAAGCTGAAATGTTATCGCCACCATTCTCTCCGCACAGACACTGACTGACTCACTGCCCAGCTCCTGCAATTCTCCTTTCCCCATTAACCTTAACAACTCAACGAGACTCCTCTAACATCACCTACCAAACCCTCACCCACATCTAGCTGGAAGGTCAAGGGGAGCAATGGCTGTCAGTTAAACCATAGTTTTTTTATATACTTGAGATGCTTATGTCATTTAATAATCAAAGCATTCAAAGAATTGTTATTAAAGGAATATAAACAGAGACACTCAGCAGGACCATAAGACCATAGGAGCAGAGTTAGGCCATTTGGCCGATCGAGTCTGCTCTGCCAATTGATCATGGCTGAGAACCTTACTACATCTGTCTTAAAGAAACTCAATGACTTGGCCTCCCCAGCCTTCTGTGGCAATGAGTTTCACAGATTCACCACCACCACCACCACCACCACTACCCGCACCCCCCCCCCCCCCAACCCCCCCCACCCCACCCCAATTTGGGACATCACGTTGAGGACGTTGGTGAGGTCTCTTCTGGAGTACTGTGTGCAGTTCTGGTCACCCTGTTAAAGGAAGGATGTTATTCAATTGGAAAGAGTTCAGAAAAGATTTACCAGGATGTTGCTGGGAATGGAGGCTTTGTGGTATAAAGATAGGCTGGAACATTTTTTTACTGGAGCGTGGGAGGTTGAGGGGTTTATAAAATCAGGAGGGACATGGATAAGGTGACTATAATAAGGGTCTTTTTCCTAGAGTGGGGGTGTTCAAAACTAGGGGCATATTTTTAAGGCAGGAGGATAAAGATTTTAAAATGATATTAGGGGGCAATTTTTTTACACAGAGAGTTGTTAATGTGTGAATGAACTGCCAGAGGAAGTGGTGGATGTAGGTACAGTTACAACATTTAAAACACATTTGGATAAGTACAGGAATAGGAAAGGTTTGCAGGGATATGGGCCAAATGCAGACAAGTAGGACTGGTTTAGTTTGGGAACATGATCGGCGTAGACTAGTTGGACAGAAGTGTCTGTTTCCGTGCTGCATGACTCTGTGACTGTATAAAGGGGCATCCTTTCACTCTGAGGTTGTGCCGAAGCCTCAGTGTTCTGTAAGTTGTAATCCGAATCCTCCATCATCCTTCTAAACTCCATCAAGTACAGACACAGTATCCTCAATCGGTCCTCATATGATGAGCCCTCCATGCCCTGGATCATACTTGTGAACCTTCTCTGGATTCCCTCCAAAGCCAGCACATCCTTCTCATATCGGGCCCAAAACCACTCACAATATTCCAAATATGGTCTGACCAGAGCCTGATATAGCCTAAGCAATACATCTCTGCTCTTGTATTCTTGCCCTCTTAAAATGAATGCTAACATTGCAGATTTGCCTTTCTAACTTTTGAATGACAACCACGGCACGGCGGCTCAGTGGTTAGCACTGCTGCCTCACAGCGCCAGGGACCCAGGATCAATTCCACCCCCGGGCGACTGTCTGTGTGGAGTTTGCGCATTCTCCCCGTGTCTGCGTGGGTTTCCTCTGGGTGCTCCAGTTTCCTCCCACAGTCCAAAAATGTGCAGGTTAGGTGGATTGGCCATGCTAAATTGGCTGTCTTGCGTGGGGATGTGTAGGTTAGGTGGATTAGCTGTGGGAAATGCAGGGTTAAGGTAAGGGGGTGAGTCTGGGTGTGATGCTTCTCACAGAGTTGGTGTGGATTTGTTGGGCTGAATGACCTGTTTCACACTGTAAGGATTCTATGAAAAAATAAACCTGCCAACTGATCTTGTGTGCTAACCTTAAAAGAATCTGACCTAGGACTCCTAAGTTGCCTTGTGCTTCAGATTTCTGAACCTTTCCACTAAGGTCTGGCAGAGAAAAGTAGAGTTAATGTTTCAGGTTAATGACCTTTGCTCAAAAGTTGGAATGTGATTATGTTAAACAAGAGGAATGAGGAGTGGTGGGTTGGGGGTTTGGGGTGTGGACAAGAAGAAATGGGGAGGACAGTGATTGTATGGAGGGCAAGACAGATTAAATAACGTTGGTGATGACCAAAGGGAGTGTTATTGTGGGAGGAAAAGTTTGGAATGATCATTTTAGAGCAGGTACAAAGGGCAGGAGGATGAATGGTTGTCATTCAAAAGCAAAAATAAAGAACTTAACAAGAGAGAAGCCAAAACATTCAAAGAAATGGGAAACAGAATGGATCTGAGATGGTAATGTGATATTGTTGAGTTTAGCGTTAGGTCTAGAGACTGCAAAGTATTGGATTGGATGTGAGGTACAGTTCCTCAGGCCTGTCAATCCTGACTGGAATGGTGCAACAAGCTGACGACAGAGAGGTTAGAGGTCACAGCAAGGAGGGGTCATAAGTTCAACTGATAGACTACTGGGAGCTCAGGTCATGCAGTGACCTGGCATGCATCTGGGCTCCCCAGGCTACAGGAGACCCCATCACCAGTATAGTACAGAACAGTACAGTTCAGAAGTAGGAGTTAATCACCGCTTGACCTGGAGGGAGTGTCGGGAGGAGAGAGGGAGGAGGGGAGGTGCAAACCTCAGGCATGGAAAAGTGCTATGGAAAGGGAGAAGGTGTACTGGGTGAGCAGGCTGTTGTGGAGGGAATGGACCAGAGGTGGTGACTGTGATGGGTCTGGTGGTAGTACATTGTGCTGGAGGTAGGGAAAGAGGATCAATCTATTGAATACCCAGAGAGGTGAGACATCCGGAACTTGAATCAAGCTCGGAGGGGCAGGGGAGAGTGAAGGTTTACAGGAAATAGGAATGGACATGGTTGAGGGTCCTAGCAGCCATGGTGATGGTTGAGGTAAAAATTGGGGAGGGCAGGTATGGGAGGTTGCGTCATCAGAAAACCAGGAGAGGTGGGGAAACTGAGAGATGGAATGGAATCCTTACAGGCAGCAGGGAGTGAGGAGCTGTAGTTGAGGTAGTTGTGGGAGTCAGTGGCTTATCAGGAATCTTGGTCAAAATCCCATTCCTGGAAATAGAGGTAGAGAAGTTAAGGAAGGGATAAATTGGAGTTGGAGCAGACGATGTTGAGGAAAGGGGAAACAGGGAAGCCAAGTGAAGAAATGTTTGAGTTTGGAGCAAGAGAAGGTAACAACAAAAACTGCACAGTTGTGGGTAATCATAGAATCTCAAAAAATGTCCATTTGTCCCATCATGCCTTCTACTATTAGAAACCAGTCACAGCGTGCTGTCTGACCAATGGGGGGTCCAGAAGTGGGGAAAGATGATGTCAGCAACAGTTGGTGCTCGGTGTTGGGGGTCACTGTCCAGGACGTGCTGAGCAACAGTCAGACAGATAGTGTCCAGTCTCCACTAGCAACAGGTCAGACAACAACAGTCCCTGTGAGCATGTGTTTGATGACAGCGTTGGACCTGAGAAAAGAGAGTGCAGCAAGTTCAAAGGAAAACATGTCAGACTGAGAGAGGGGAGCAGTCAGACTAAGGGTATGTGTGTGGGTTACAGTTCATGCTTCAGATCTAACTTCTGATGTGCTGAGATTGCTGGGGGAGAGGAAGTGATGGTTTTCAGATTGATTTATTTGCTGTTGCAATCTTGTTTGGGGTCAGCGCGTGGGAAAAGAGATGCTTTTCTCAGAGTGGAGTTAGGCGAACGGCAGATCTGGTTGAAGATTATGGGTCAGGCCAGTATGTCATTCCCCAGATTTTAATGATTTCTGCTCAGGGAAGGTGATTTGTCCAGCACTGACAGGTCACAGACTGACCACTTCTGTGTGTACTGTTACAGTGCATGGAGTCCTGAAGGTGTTCCGATACCAGGTGGATCAGGAGTCTGTGACCTGGGAGGCCAAAGGCACTCAGAGTAAGGATTGGAGGCTTATTAACATCACCATGGAGAGTTCCACAGTCTTCCAGGTGGGTCCCGCTTCACATTTTTACCCAGTCACGGAGAGATTTCCCAAACTTGGCTCGTTATGATGTGGAGGTGCCGGTGTTGGACTGGGGTGGACAAGGTCAGAATTCACACAACACCAGGTTGTAGTCCAACAGGTTTATTTGAAAACACAAGCTTTTGGAGCCTCGCTCCTTTTTCAGGTGTTAGTGAGAGAGGTAGTATCAGACACAGAATTTATAAGTAAAAGATCAAAGGGTCACACAACTGATGAGGATGTATCACACAAACCTATGATGCTGTTAAATCTTTAATCAGTTAGAAGATTTTAATTGATTAATATGCATATGTTAATCCCTGAATTCCTTTCAAGTAATTGTCCTGAGAGAACTAAAGGTTTTATCACTAAAGAAGAGGTGACATTTTAGGTCAGACAATGCATGTTAGGTATGAGGCCTTGTTTAGAATCTGTTTGTGTTCTGGTTTGGAGTCAGTTTATGTGTGGAGGGAGGGGAGAGAGTGAGAGTTCTAACTGATTAAAGATTTAACAGTATCTTAGGTTTGTTTAATACATCCTTATCAGTGGTGTGACCCTTTGATCTTCTACTTATAAATTCTGTGGCTGATACTACCTCTCTCACTAACACCTGAAGAAGGAGCGAGGCTCCGAAAGCTTGTGTTTTCAAATAAACCTGTTGGATTATAATTTGGTGTCGTGTGATTTCTGACCTTGGCTCATTATAAAATAGACTTCCAGCCTGCGAGCCAAGAAACATCAGGAATGTCAGTGTCAAACACAAAGAGGATGGATGGTGAAAACAACAGCATCTGATTCACAAAACCTTCCCCTGATATCCCTCCATCAGTGTCACAGGCACTTCACCACAATAGAAAAGAGACCACGAAACGAGAGCTTCCAGTGTGAGTCAGCATGTGTGGGACCGTACCCCAGTGAGAGTCAGTGTGTGTGGGACCGTACCCCAGTGAGAGTCAGTGTGTGTGGGACTGTACCCCAGTGAGAGTCAGTGTGTGTGGGACTGTACACCAGTGAGAGTCCGTGTGTGTGGGGCTGTACCCCAGTGAGAGTCAGTGTGTGTGGGACCGTACCCCAGTGACAGTCAGTGTGTGTGGGACCGTACCCCAGTGAGAGTCAGTGTGTGTGGGACTGTACCCCAGTAAAAATCATTGTGTGTAACTATATCCCTGTCTGGCACACCCTCAGCACTGACGCTCCGACAGTGTGGCACTCCCGCAGCACTGACCCCCCGAAGGTGCAGCACACCCTCAGCACTGACCCTCCGACAGTGCGGCGCTCCCTCAGTACTGACCCTCTGACTTTGCAGCACTCCCTCAGTACTGACCCTCCGACAGTGCGGCATTCCCTCAGTACTGACCCTCTGACAGTGCGGCCCTCTCTCAGCACTGACCCTCCGACAGTGCGGCCCTCCCTTAGCACTGACCTTCCGACAGTGCGGCACTCCCTCAGTACTGACCCTCTGACAGTGCGACGCTTCCTCAGCACTCTCTCCCTCAGCACTGACCCTCCGACAGTGCGGCCCTCCCTCAGTACTATAATCAATTGACACCATTCATTATTGGATGCAGTTTGCATTGAGGCCAGTGTGTCTGTGTTATAGTTGTTTAGTGACTGACACGGTAATAACCCTGTCTTTTGTTTGCTGTGCTCCTGAACACAAGGCTACTGGCTCACTGAGTGTGTGTTGTGGGGGATTGACGGACTGTATCCCTGTTCTAGGTTGGTTTCAAAGCTGTGAAATCGAACCAGGCAGAGGTTGGATATGTTGCCATTGATGACATTGTGTATTATCCTGGAGTGAACTGTCGTGGAGTACAAACAGATGGAGCTGTCTGGGGTAAGACCCATGTCCAATTACCCTGCACTATTCTTCATCAGTGCATGCACATTGTGGGTGACAGTCAGAAGACTGAAAACTAACAGGAGCATCACACCTCATTCCCAAAGCAGCGAGTGCATGGAGTTCAATACAGAGGTTTTCTCCCGGGGTGGGAATGTCAAATACTAAGGTTTAAGGTGAGAAGGGGAAAGTTTACGGGAAATGTGCAAGGATGGGTTTTTACACAGAGGGTGGTAGCTGCCTGGAACACATTGCCAGGAGTGGTGGTAGAAGCAGATATTTAAGAGGCATTTAAACAGACATATGAACAGGCAGGGAATAGAGGAATATGGACCATGTGCAGGCAGATGGGGTACAGGTCTCTGGCACAGAGTCTGTCCCTGTTGCTCAGAAGGGAAGCGGGGAGAGGAGGAGAGCATTAGTCATTGGGGACTCCATAGTTAGGGGGACAGATAGGAGATTCTGTGGGAACGAGAGAGACTCGCAGTTGGTGTGTTGCCTCCCAGGTGTCAGGGTCCGTGATGTCTCGGATCGTGTTTTCGGGATCCTTAAGGGGGAGGGGGAGCAGCCCCAAGTCGTGGTCCACATAGGCACCAACAACATAGGTAGGAAAAGGGATGGGGATGTAAGGCAGAAATTCAAGGAGCTAGGGTGGAAGCTTAGAGCTAGAACAAACAGAGTTGTGATCTTTGGTTTGTTACCTGTGCCACGTGCTAGCGAGGCGAGGAATAGGGAGGGAGAGCAGTTGAACACGTGGCTACAGGGATGGTGCAGGAGGGAGGGATTCAGATACCTGGATAATTGGGGCTCATTCTAGGGTAGGTGGGACCTCTACAAATGGGATGGTCTACACCTGAACCAGAGGGGTACCAATATCCTGAGGGGGAAATTTGCTAATGCTCTTCGGGAGGGTTTAAACTAATTCAGCAGGGGGATGGGATCCTGAATTGTAGCTCCAGTGTACAGGAGGTTGAGAGTAGTGAGGTCATGAATAAGGTTTCAAGGTCGCAGGAGTGTACCGGCAGGCAGGAAGGTGGTTTGAAGTGTGTCTACTTCAACGCCAGGACATCCGGAATAAGGTGGGTGAACTTGCAGCATGGGTTGGTACCTGGGACTTCGATGTTGTGGCCATTTCGGAGACATGGATAGAGCAGGGACAGGAATGGTTGTTGCAGGTTCTGGGGTTTAGATGTTTCAGTAAGATCAGAGACGGTGGTAAAAGAGGGGAAGGTGTGGCATTAATAGTCGAGGACAGTATTACGGTAGCAGACAGGACGTTTGATGACAACTCGTCTACTGAGGTAGTATGGGCTGAGGTTAGAACCAGGAAAGGAGAGGTCACCCTGTTGGGAGTTTTCTATAGGCCTCCGAAAAGTTCCAGAGATGTAGAGGAAAAGATTGCAAAGATGATTCTGGATAGGAGCGAAAGTAACAGGGTAATTGTTATGGGGGACTTTAATTTCCAAATATTGACTGGAAACGCTATAGTTCGAGTACTTCAGATGGGTCAGTTTTTGTCCAATGTGTGCAGGAGGGTTGACACAGTATGTAGATAGGCCAACAAGAGGCGAGGCCATATTGGATTTGGTACTGGGTAATGAACCAGGCCAGGTGTTAGATTTGGAGGTAGGTGAGCACTTTGGTGATAGTGACCACAATTCGGTTATGTTTACTTTAGTGATGGAAAGGGATAGGTATATACCGCAGGGCAAGAGTTATAGCTGGGGGAAAGGCAATTATGAAGCGATTAGGCAAAATTTAGGATGCATAGGATGGAGAAGGAAACTGCAGGGGCTGGGCACAATTGAAATGTGGAGCTTGTTCAAGGAACAGCTACTGCGTGTCCTTGAGAAATATGTACCTGTCAGGCAGGGAGGAAGTGGTCGAGCGAGGGAACCGTGGTTTACTAAAGAAGTTGAATCTCTTGTCAAGAGGAAGAAGGAAGTTTATGTCGAGATGAAGTGTGAAGGCTCAGTTAGGGCGCCTGAGAGTTACAAGTTAGCCAGGAAGGACCTAAAGAGAGAGCTAAGAAGAGCCAGGAGGGGACATGAGAAGTCTTTAGCAGGTAAGATCAAGGAAAACCCTAAAGCTTTCTATAGGTATGTCAGGAATAAAAGAATGACTAGAGTAAGATTAGGGCCAGTCAAGGACAGTAGTGGGAAGTTGTGCGTGGAGTCTGAAGAGATAGGAGAGGCGCTAAATGCATATTTTTCATCAGTATTCACACAGGAAAAAGACAATGTTGTTGAGATGAATACTGAGATACAGGCTATTAGACTGGACGGGATTGAGGTTCATAAGGAGGAGGTGTTAGCAATTCTGGAAGGTGTGAAAATAGATAAGTCCCCTGGGCTGGATGGGATTTATCCTAGGATTCTCTGCGAAGCTGGAGAGGAGATTGCAGAGCCTTTGGGTTTGATCTTTATGTTGTCATTGTCTACAGGAATAGTGCCAGAAGACTGGAGACTAGCAAATGTTGTCCCCTTGTTCAAGAAGGGGAGTAGAGACAACCCTGGTAATTATAGACCAGTGAGCCTTACTTCGGTTGTGGGTAAAGTGTTGGAAAGGATTATAAGAGATAGGATTTATAATCATATAGAAAGGAATAATTTGATTAGGGATAGTCAACACGGTTTTGTGAAGGGTAGGTCATGCCTCACAAACCTTATTGAGTTCTTTGAGAAAGTGACCAAACAGGTGGATGAGGGTAAAGTGGTTGATGTGGTGTATATGGATTTCAGTAAAGCGTTTGATAAGGTTTCCCACAGTAGGCTATTGCAGAAAATACGGAGGCATGGGATTGAGGGTGATTTAGCGGTTTGGATCAGAAATTGGCTAGCTGTAAGAAGACAGAGGGTGGTGGCTGATGGGAAATGTTCATCCTGGAGTTCAGTTAATAGTGGTGTACTGCAAGGATCTGTTTTGGGGCCACTGCTGTTTGTCATTTTTATAAATGGCCTGGATGAGGGCGTAGAAGGATGGGTTAGTAAATTTGCGGATGACACTAAAGTCGGCGGAGATGTGGATAGTGCGGAAGGATGTTGCAGGTTACAGAGGGACATAGATAAGCTGCAGAGCTGGGCTGAGAGGTGGCAAATGGAGTTTAATGCGGAAAAGTGTGAGGTGATTCACTTTGGAAGGAGTAACAGGAATACAGAGTACTGGGCTAATGGTAAGATTCTTGGTAGTGTGGATGAGCAGAAAGATCTCGGTGTCCATGTGCATAGATCACTGAAAGTTGCCACCCAGGTTGATAGCGTTGTTAAGAAGGCGTACAGTATGTTAGGTTTTATTGGTAGAGGGATTGAGTTTCGGAGCCATGAGGTCATGTTGCAGCTGTACAAAACTCTGGTGCGGCCGCACTTGGAGTATTGCGTACAGTTCTGGTCACCGCATTATAGGAAGGATGTGGAAGCATTGGAAAGGGTGCAGAGGAGATTTACCAGGATGTTGCCTGGTATGGAGGGAAGGTCTTATGAGGAAAGGCTGAGGGTCTTGAGGCTGTTTTCGTTAGAGAGAAGAAGGTTAAAAGGT